AAACACTTTATTTAAAATGAGTTGAAACAACAATTGAATGTTATGTTCAATCCACTTAAATTTGTAAAAAACTAATAGGTAAACTTAATTCCTTTATGTTATCAAAACATAAATTGATTGTGTAGAACCCAGGATTTTTACAGAGCCTGAAGGTGAGTGATTACTTACATAATTAATTTTTTTTTTGAGTGGACTAACCCTTTCATTTTGGGTAAAACATTGATGTTGCATTTGCAATTGTGCTGTTGCCAGATACAGTTGAAGTCAGAATTGTTAGCCTCCCCTGTTTATTTTTTCCGCAATTTCTTTAACGGAGAGAAGATTTTTTTAACACAATTTCCAAACATAATAGTTTTAATAACTCATTTCTAATAACTGATTTATTTTATCTTTGCCATGATGACAGTAAATAATATTTTACTAGATATTTTTCTAGACACTTATATACAGCTTAAAGTGACATTTAAAGTCTTTAATAGGTTAATTAGGTTAACTAGGCAGGTTAGGGTAATTAGGCACGTTATTGTTTATCAATGGTTTGGTCTGTAGACTATCGAAAAATGTATTGCTTAAAGGGGCTAATAATTTTGACCTTAAATTGATTTTTTAAATTAAACACTGTTTTTATTTTAGCTGAAATAAAACAAATAAGACTTTCTCCAGAAGAAAAAATATTATCAGACATATATGAAAATTTCCTTGCTCTGCTAAACCTGTTCATTTGGGAAATATAAAAAAAAAATAATAATAATAAATCAAAGGGGGGGCTAATAATTCTGACTTCAACTGTATCTTTGTCCAAAGCAACGGATATTGCCTTTCACTTCCTTTTTAACAGTTCTTGTTTTCTCTTTGAAATGTGATTTTTTTTCATTCTAGCACTGTGGTTTGCTGTTTTCACTACAGAAATGTGTAAGCAAATAAACTGGTAGTAGTTTAACTTTGAGACAAAATATTAGTATTGGTCATTCAAAAAAGAAAATCAAAAAAGTAGTATATATTTAAAGGAGCAATTGCCTTTCCTGTAGAATTGGGGCTATTCTCATCTGGGCTGTCTTTTAGGATGGGACTATCAGTGCTTGTCTCATTTCTGCTCTGCCTTCGTGGAGGAATTGGTTCGAATAAATATTACACGATACTGCCTTTAAAATTTGGCTTCTTGTTCTCATCATCATCAGTCATCTGAAGAAATTTCGATCTGATAACAGTGCTGACATTAACAGTAATCTTCCACAACTGAGTGCAAACTGGTATTTAAATGTTCTTCCAGTTTGTTAGCAACTGCCATCTTCCATCAATCAAATCAGTTCCAATAGGACAAAAACATGCACTACATTTCAGAATCATTTCAATCTGATGTACAACACGATATAAAATAAAATGACAATCTTAACTTTTATTTCATGCTAACATAAAGTTAAGGTTTATTATTCATTTTCATTAAGTTGACCATCAAATCTAATTTAATCATTTACATTTTTTTTTTATTGTTTATGGTAATGAGAGCCCAATTTTTCTCTGAAGTGAACTACTGTTTGCAGGAACTTTGGTGACATGATTAGCACTTGCTTTTGAAATGAAGGTTTAAAAAATTGCATTCAGTTATTTAGTAATAAACTCACAGTGCATCTCAAGGTGTCGATACAGCCTTGGTTTCAGAGGTTTCACATCTGTTTTTACCTTTATGATTTTCAATCATTTTTGAGTCTTGTTATTATTTATGCAAGAGTGTTTTCTTTTTCCATGATGACAAAGTCTTTCATTGTTTTTCCAGAGTCCTTGCCAATTTCTACTTTAATTTCTGTAGGTCTAGGCTGATATGGTTGCCATGATATCAGTGTCTGTCACCTTGACATCTAATGCCAAGTCAAAAGCATCTGCCCGTTTGGCCTCTGATGTTTTTACTGAGCATCTGCTTCATGATGTGTTATTAAAGGTTACTCTGTAAACATTTGATCTAAATTCTTCAGAATTTTCAATCAGTTATATCTATAAAGATATGGGCTATCAAAACATAAAACATTATCAGATGCACAAACATATATGTTTTAACAGCCCCTTTAGATTTCACATATAATGCTGGATGAATTTTTAGCGATGTCTCAGGTTAGTCGTCATCTTGACAGCTTTGGCAGCAAAACCTCTGGCTTTGTGTGTTTACCATTGTGAACAACAAAACCAAACATGTCAAATAGATTGACACCTTGATTATTACAAACGCTGTTCACTTTTTATAGGCTTGCTGTTTATCACTAGGGAGAGCATCTCTTAACGACACACTATGTATTGACTGCCACTTAATCTGTCAATCAATTGCATCTGAAGAAAATATGGCTCTAAAATGCCCAGTTTTACTGTTTTATAATAGTACATACCGTTTGATGGAGATGAATTGCTGCTATTGAAGGAGCAGGAAGAGATATTGCTCTAATGAGTCAATAAGGAACGGTGTGTCTTCCAGCTGCTCATAAATCCTTCTTGGCTTATTAATTTTGAAAATTTTTTTTTAATTGAAGTTCTTCAATACTTGGGGCTCTATTTTAACGATCTACCGAAGACGCAAAGTCTTAAGCGCATGGCGCAAAAGCATTAAGGGCATATCTAAATACACTTTTGCTATTTTAAGGTCTGTAAATGTGGTTTGTGCATGTTTTCCATGATCTAACAGGGTTGTGCTTATTCTCTTAATGAGTTTTGGGTGTGTTTTGAGCATAACGTGCATTAAACTGATCAGAGTCTCATCTCCTATTCCCTTTAAGAGTTAGTTGTGTCTCGCCGTGGCGCATTTGCTATTTACATGGTGAAATTTGTAAGTGGAAAAACTGAACGCTTCACTAGCAAGAAAACAGTTAAACAGACCATCTGCAGCACGAGGATAATGAACGAGCCTCCTCCATTTGGCCTCTTTACTTTACTTTTAAGGCTTTACTTTACTCCTTTACTTTCGTGGATAAGGAATCAGTGGAAACTCACTCCAATGAAGAAATCCTTTAGCCTACATATTTAATTTTATTTAAGCGCAAAAATTTTATTCAAAATTATTTCTAAATTCAGTTCTAATTTCCAGCAAACAATTAAATGAACAATAATAATGAAGTGTGGTCAAAAACTGAGAGACACATACGTCTTCAAAACCCGACAGGGGGATAAATCTAAACTTGTATTTATTCAAACAAATATAAATGTGCAATAATAAGTAATACTGCTAATAATACTAATAACATTGTCAGGGTTCTGCCACTCTGGTCTTGTAAACTCTTGTTTTGGTGGCAGAATCCGGACACTAGTCATGTCTACTCCTGTTGTGCCAGGCTCGAGTTTTCTTGGGTCGAGCACTTGTTTCTGTCTCTGTGTGCGTGTGCCGTCGTGGGTGTACGCAGGGTGTGCGCGCTCCCGCTTGATGCGGCCGCGCGGGCTTTGCGTGCCTAGGAAGCGCGCGCTCGCGCGCTCTTGTACTTGTGTTTGTGTTTTCGTCTGTCTGCAGCGTGGTGTTTCATTCCCAGCGTCTCAGTCTAGTTGGTTTCGGTTTTGGTCGGCGCTGGGATGAAGCATGCAGGCTGCGTGTGTTAGCGCACGGTGAGTGTTTGCATTCATCGTGTGCTTGTGTCTTGCGTCTGTTGTCAAAGCATGTGGCTATGCGTTTACATTGTGGTCACGTGCTTTTGTCGTGTGCTTCAGTGTTGTGCTTGTGTTGTCATGAACATGCGGTTAATGAGTTCTCTTATTGGCTGCATGTTCTTGTCCTGTTTTATGTGAGTGCATGGCTTGCCTTGTCTCTGTCATGCGCTCTCCCGTCTATTGTCTAGTCCCACCCTCCTTGTCAACCCATTATTAGTTAATTGTGTTCACCTGTTAATCTCCTCATGTCTTCTGTTCTGTGCCAGTTTGTCGTCTAAACTCCCTATGTGTTCCTGCTCTTGTTCTTGTCGTGCCAACCCAGCCAAGTTTGTTAGTGTTATAGTTATGCTTTTCCCCTTCGGGGTGGTTTTTGTTGTTGTTTTGTTTTATTTTTTTTATCAATAAATCATCCTGTGTTTGCACTTGAGTCCTCGCTCCCTCATCCTTCCCGAACCATGACAAACATACAAATGCAAATTGTCATTAATAAACTAAAAAAAGCCCTCCAACCTGAAGAAGGCATGGAGGCAGTGGTTATTATATTTATGTAGAAACTAAAAATTTTGTAACATTTTAATCCTTTATTTTTTTTCATACGTAAAAAAAAAAAAAAAATTTCATATGTAGAAAAAAAAATATGTGTATTGCTGTACATCCTGTGGGTATTAAGCAATGTGTAGACGTTTGGACTGCATAACTCATGAGCTCTGTGCTGGTCTTTAGACCAGCTTTTTGATGGTCAATGTCACAGTCTCTTTTAGTTCCTGAAAATAGCAACGCACCACAAAGTAGCGCAAATGGATTTGCTGTTTAAACAACGTGGCACAAAATGTGACAATTACACTGTAAAAAATGTTTGTGAAAATAACAGTGAAATTCTGTTAAATTGTGACATCTAAATTTTGTAAATAAAAAAACAAAGAAACAGCGTTAAATTTACAGTATGGTTTTGTAAAAAATAAAAATACAGTTGTAACACATTGAACCAAATTAAACTGTTAATTGTACTGTAAGAATGTGTATCAATAACAATGTTTATTTGTAGAAAATACCGATCACTGTTATTTGAATAGTAAAAACATGTAATACTGAAAGCTGCTGTAAAAATTACAAAATGATACTAAACAAACAAAAATCATGCTATTATAGATTTAAAAAAAGCTTGTGTAAGCAAGTATAACAATCACAAAATGACCAAAATGATTATGCTATCCTTACACATATCATTACATATTTACAGGTTTTAAATAAGGGGTTTTAAAAGGCAATGTGTCTGTTTAGAATTGTCCTAATGGTCTATTAGCTATTTTAATATTAGGCTTTATTGCTAATTATCATATTTAATGTAGGCCTACATAGAAAAAATAATTGCTATTTGTCCGTAAGGGTCCTTTATTTGTGAACACATGTGAAATGTAATCGTAAATCCACTGTAATTGACAAAATATTTTTTTAAAACAATTTATTTAATAAAATTATGAATGTCTTGTTGTTATTTAAAATGTGACAGCGGTGTTTTTCTATCTAAAATATATGTTTTTGCGTAAATCAATGTCTGCGTTTGAATTTCAAACTCTGTTCTGTTTTGTCCAATCACTAATCTGACTCTTGCGGGAGCAGCCATTTTACAGACGTTTATGGATCTATAGTGAGAGCGCGCGCTCAATCTGTCCGGCCCGCGAATGAAGCTGTGGAAGACGTCTTGCAACATTTCTAAACTACTGAGGCACTGGTAAGTTTAGTGAAAAGTTCGTTTACTTTAAACGCTTTACCATAAGCACCCGCCAAAGAGGAGAGGGTATTATTTGGGGTGTTGCACGGTCGTCGAAGTAATAATGAGTGGCACAATGCAAAGGTAACTCGGCCCCTTGTCGTATCGTACTACTAACGTAACGTTAGCTGAAAAAAAGATTTTTTGGAAGTCTAAAGATGATTACGTGTCATTTTTGCAACAAAACCCTTGAGACACTAAGAGGCTATGTGTTGCATTGTAAAGTTCACAGAAACGAACCCCGTTGCTTTTTCAAATGTGTTGGTGCTGGCTGTAAGCGAACATTTTGCTCTTACGCAGCATTTAAAGCACATTTCTATAGAGATCACAATGAGTCTGTATCAACCGTTAGTACTAAAGCAGTTGTTGCAGATTTTAAATGTGCCATTTCGTTGTGTGACCGCACGTTTAACACGGCTAAAGATGTAATATGCCACTTAAAAGAGCATTTAGCAGAAGGCCGACCTGTGGCTTGTCCAGTAACGGGTTGTAAAAATACTTTTACAATTAAATCGTCTTTTACAGCCCACATGTCAAGAAAGCATAGAGCTGCTTCAAATGATTCTATAAGTGACATTTACAGGGAAACTGTTTCTCAGTCGTCCACTGTCATTGAATGTGATGTTTCAAATGATGTAACAACACCTGAAACTACAGAATTGCCCCAAATTTCTAGTGAGTCGTTCCTTAGGAATATGTGTTTATTATACTTAAAACTGCAAGGACAGCTCCTCCTTCCAGCTTCAACAATTCAGACGATTGTTGAAGAGATGCAAAATGTGCATGAGTTGGGACAAGATTACACTTTAAGTAAACTGCGTTCCCTTTTAAAAAATGAGATGGATCTAGCAGATGAAGTTGTTAGTAAAGTCTGTGACTGTGTAAAGGATTCAGATCTGTTCTCTTTCTGTCATCAAGGACCACTGAGAACAACATATTCAAGAAGTCAGACATTCAAACAGATGTTCAAATACATAGAGCCTAAAAAGGTAACATTGGGAAATGATGAAAATATGACAAAGAAGTTTGCATATTACATACCTGTGAAACAAACATTGAGTAGCTTATTGGAATCGGAATTATGGAAGAATTCGCTGTGTCAGCCATCTTGTGAAATCGACTCGGATAATTTTGCTGACATTAGTGATGGCAAAATCTTTAAGTCCAACCAGTTCTTTCTTGAAAATCCAGAATGTCTGAAACTAATTATTTACCAGGATGCGTTTGAAATTGTCAATCCACTTGGATCTGCTAAAAAAAAGCACAAAGTAGTTGCAGTCTACCTCTCTTTGGGTAATTTACCTGCTCATGTGCGGTCCAATACTGATCACATGTTCCTCGCCTTGTTGTGTGGAGAGAACGACCTAAAGAAATTTGGAAGTGCTAAGGTTTTCTCGGAGCTGTTAGTGGATTTAAAAGATTTGGAGGAAAATGGAATAGCTGTAGGTGGTAAAGTAGTCAAAGGTGCACTGTATTGTATTGCTGGGGATAATTTGGGTTCACACGCCATTGGTGGGTTTACTGAAAATTTCAGTCGTGCTCAGTATTTTTGCAGGTATTGTGAAATCACAAGAAATGAATTTCAGAGTGATAACCCAAATGTTTGTGGTCCACAGCGCACCCCTGAAACATATGATTCTGCTGTTCATGATTTACAATCTGAAGACCGTCAAGACATCAAAGGAATAAAGGTAAACTCTGTTTTCAATACTTTGAAATCTTTCCATGTCTGCCAGCCTGGTCTCCCACCTTGTTTAGGCCATGACATATTTGAGGGTGTCTTATCCTATGATGTGGCATTGTACTTAAAGTATTTCATTAAGAAAAGACACTGGCTTACATATTCTGTTTTGAACCGTCGAATCAAGCAATTCAAGTACAAAAGTACTGATGCACTTACAAAGCCGTGTGCGGTCAATTCTGAGGTGTCCAAGCTTTCTGGGCAAGCTGTACAGAATTGGAACTTTTTAAGGTTGCTTCCTGTATTAATTGGTGACAAAGTGGAAAATTCAGAAGATGAAGTGTGGCAGTTAACTCTCCAGCTCAAAGATATTGTTGATTTGATTTGTGCACAAAAAATTTCATCATCACAAGTAGCCTATCTTGACTTTCTAATCCAAGAATATTTGGAATTAAGAAAGTCTTTGTTTCCTGAGAGTCCACTAAAACCAAAACATCATTTCTTGCGACATTATCCTGCACTAATTCTTAAATTTGGCCCCTTAATTCGATTGTGGACTATGCGTTTTGAAAGTAAGCATAGCTACTTCAAAAGATGTGCTAGGCATTTGAAAAATTTTAAGAATGTCTGCCTAACTCTATCCGAAAGGCATCAGATGTTTCAGGCATATCTTTCAGCTGGACCAGGATGCACTCCGCTTTTGCATGTCAAGGACAGTTGCACTTTTTACCCAAGTCTTTACAGTGAATCAATCAAACATGCAGTGAGAGAATTTAACTTTTCAGAGGTTAATACTACTGTGTCCACAGAAATAATGTATAAAGGAACGTCATACAAAAAAGGACATTTTCTTGTGTCTAAAAATGATGAGTTCATTGAGTTTGGAGAACTTCTCATCATTTTAATCCAAAATGACGTAGTTGTGTTTTTTGTATTGGGAATACAAAAAGCTGAATATCATTTTGAATACCATCTGTACTCTGTGACTAAACAGAGTACCAGGCTACAGTGTCTTAGCATTAATGACTTGGTTGATTTTTATCCGCTAACATCATACATTGTTAATGGGTACCAAGTCATTCCGCTGAAACACAGCGTGCTGTCGAAGTAAAGAGATCTTGCCCACAGAGGTGGAAAAAATATACTAAAAATCATCATGTATGCTTACTTAAAATAACATATAGTTTAAAAAGATAATTTTCCCAAAAATTAAAATGTTAATATCATTTACTTACCCTTGACTTTTTTTTCCAAACCTATTTGGGGTTTGTTTATTTTTTTTCTCAAGATGATATTTTGAAGAATGTTGTAACTATTGACTTCAATAGTATTTTTTCCTACTATGGAAGTCGATGATTACAAGTTTACAACATTCTTCTAATTGTTGGCACAAATAAAAAACCTCAAACTGGTATTAAATATGTCAAGGGTAAATAAATTATAGATTTAATTTTTTTTGGTGAACCATCCCTTTAAAAAATAGTAAGATCTGCATTTTGTTTGTTTTATTTGCAATTTGATTAACAGAAATAAACTCTTAATAATTTTAATAACTACATGTTTAATCACTACTTGCTTGATTTCAGTAATGACTGACTTGGAGACAACATTTCTACGTACTGCCATCACTGAGGTCTTGCCTAACCTTCCAGAGGCAACAAAAGACATTTTAGTGGAGTTATTGCAATCCATTGGAGTGGAGACATATGATGATTTTCAGTTTATTGAGGAATGCGATTTGCTGACAGCATTGAGGCCAATCCAAGCTCGAAAAGTCCTTGCTGCTTGGAAGTTAAGATGTAAGTCATGTGGTGCAGAATAGAATGCTACGAGACAAGTTCACAAAGTAACGTGTAAAAAGGTCTTGAAAAGAAAAAAACATCAACTTTGTGTTACTGACTATTGTTTGTGAATGACCTTTTGCAGGCCAGACACCAGAAACAAGCAGCTCACCACAACCTTCCACAGCCTTGCATAGTTCACCTGCAAGTTCTGAATCTTCCTCCACCAGCAGCTCCCAAAGCCCAGATGTAGGCTGGGTGGATACGTTTCTGATTCCATGGGATACATTTCCTCAGGAACTAATGCAATTTTTGGAGAGAGGAAAACGACTAAGTCCACGAATGAGAAGAGAGATGGTCCGAATTGTGGTAAATGAGATGATGCGAAAATGTTCATGCCCAAATAAAAGGAATTCTACTGAAGTTGCCAAAAAGATGGTAGCAAAGTATCCAGAGTCTCTCCTGGATGTAATAGAGGGGGATGTGGTTGGGCCAGGGTACCATTCTTTAGTGAAGCAGTTGCAGTATAGGATTGAAAATGTGAAGCGATCTACGACACCCAAAATAAGAAAACGAAGACATCAGACTGATGACTCTGACACGGACGAAATTCCTCCAGAAAAGAGGGCAGCAATTCAGGATACGTATGGATGCATTAACTGGCATGTAAAATTCCTGCCACAGGGAGAGACCTCTGAAAGTCAGGAGGAAAAGAAAGAGAAAATGAAGATAATGTCTCGTCAAACTGATGCAAACGCAGAAGAAGTCAGACATCTAATGAAATTGACTTTCTACACACAACGTAACCAAGTCAATCAGGGCAAGAATATAAAATGCCTCCTGGAGGATTGGCCATGGTGGTTTAATGAGCTTGGCATGGCAGTTCACTACAAGGAGCTTACCGGAATTGGTCTTTATGAAACTTTCACACGGAATCTGGACTTGAAGGTGAAACGACTACTAAACTACTTCAGTACTGTTGGTGTGAACAAAAACAAAAAGTTCCTGCAGGACTTAACAAAGTTTAAAGTGATGAGGGGAGAGCTATGTGGTTGCTCTGAAGATGTGAAAGAGATGTTGATGCTTTTGATTTCCTACTTTAATGAGAAGGAAGATGCTATGTTCTGTCATGTGGAGGACACATGCCTCGCAGAAGAGGTAGAGATGGACAAAGTTAATTTGACCCCAACACTTGTTGTGTGTGGTAAGTTTATTTTTTTATTTTTTATTTTTTTGCTATTAAAATGTTTTTGTAATGTTTTACTGTAGAGCTAAAATATGCTTTAAAAATCAGAATTTAAATTGTGTTAGTTTGAATTATTGACAATTATAATTTAATAAATCTGAAATTTTATATGCTGTTAAAAATTTTGAATTTAAATTTTCAAACTTGAATATTAAACATCTGAAATTTAAGACAACTGAACTTTTCAAGGCTGAAATTTTTTTAGACGTATTTTAAAACTTTTTTGTTCTGAATTCATAGAATGGAGATTTCCAGTTTGTAAAAGTACAGTTTCAAGTTTTCAGGATGAAGAAATTCAGAACATCAAATTCAAAATTATGAAATTTAAACCAGAAATTCAGATTGTGAAATTCAAATTCAGCAGAGAGTAGGTCAGGAGTCATCAACAGAGAAGAGTAGACGATCACTGAAAGGTTAAAGCTAAAGTTAAGCATTTTGGCTAATCACAGAGCTGCGTGAGTTTACTGGTATATGTGAGGCTCAGGAGGACACAATTCTTCTTCAAACTGACTATCGGGGTCAGCTATTTTCAAGAGTTTGTGTAATAAATATAGACATGCTTCAGTGAACTAAATTCATATATTTAATTCAATTACATCTCATTGGTTAATCAATTTTGTTTTTCATTTTTGCTTGCATTGTCAAACTCCCTGCGTTTTACAGCTGTGGTAAATGACATATTTGCATGCACATGCTTTTTCATGAAATTATATAAGATTCTATTTATTACAATATTTATAGTACAGCATAGCATATAGTATAGCATTTTAAAGAAGATTTTAATGTTTGCCAAAGCCTATCTTCAACACTAAAATGCTGCCTCTTTTAAATATCATCTATTCACAATCAAGATGTCATATTTAACCTTACATTTATTTTAATGATCAGATTTTTCCATATATTTAAAAAATATTACATTATTTTTGGCTAAAATAAATAAAAACTAAAATGTCCAATAGGTGGCGCCAAATCTCTATCTTTGTCACTGAATTGTTTATTCAGAGGCATTCAATTCGGCTCATTATAAATGAATTAAGTGACTCACTATAAATGACACGCTCAGAGATTCTTGTTAACCTCATTTGTTAAGTGCTTAAAACTTTGTTTCAAATGGTAACAACATAAAATGTTTTAATAAGTCTATATTGTTGTGAAAAGTGTACAGGGAAAACCACTAGATGAATTTTCAACTATATTTTTTTGTGACACGAAGCTAAAAGCATCCTTCCCCATACTTAAAGCTAAAATACATTAGTTTAATTTTACATTAGGCTATATGTAGACAAATAACATCGATTTTTACCTATTTCCAGACCCCCCCCAAATCCCCACCCTCATGGTGAGAGATTCCTAGTTTGACTTTTCGGTGATCGTCTACTCTTCTCTGTTGATGACTCCTGACCTACTCTCTGCTGAATCTGAATTTCACAATTTGAATTTCTGGTTTTGAATTTTAGAATATTGAATTAGATGTTCTCAATTTCTTCATCCTGAAAACCTAAAACTGTACTTTCACAAACTGGAAATCTGCAGTCTAAGAAAATACGTCTATAAACAATTTCAGCCTTGAAAAATTCAGTTGTCCTAAATATCAGATGTTCAATATTCAAATTAAGAAATTCAAAATTTGTAACAGCATATAAAAATTCAGATTTATTAAATTACAATTTGCAATAATTCAAACTAACAATTCAAATTCGGATTGTTTTTTGCATATTATAAGCTTCATACTTTACAATAAGAATAAATTTGTTACCATTAATAATCATGAACGTACAACAATACTTATATAGCATTAATTAATTGTTGTTACTCATTATTATGTATTTCAAGATCAAAGACTGTCATGATGACATTAAATAGACTGTTCAGTAAAAGTATTGTTAATTGTACATTCATTTTAAATAAAGGTAACAAATAAATCTTGATAAGTTTTTTTTTTTATTTGTTTTTATTTTTTAATTTATGGTATCATAATTAAATACCAAATTTAACTTTTATTTAACTGTTTTCTTAGGCCAATCCTGCTTTTCGTCGAAGCGTTTCATGCTGTGTGTGGATCAAAATATTGTACATGACAACATCCCCTCCTTCATTTCCGCCCTGTGCATGATGTTTGGAAGCTATTATTGCTTTAACATCCATTACCCATCAGAGCTGGCATCAACCTTGGAGTTTTTGCAGAGGTATGTTTTTTTTTTTGTTTTTTTTTTTTGTACAGGCTTTATACAGCATTGAAGTGGAAAAAAAATTTAAGTAACTGATGCAGTGGCTTTTTATGAATACTTAAATTGCTAATGCAAAGTTTTCTTTTTATTTTCCCTTTTATTTGTATAGGTTGATAAATGTCACTATAATTTAAATTAAAAAGGCATTTTTCCCAAAAAAATAAGACTTTTTTTATCATTAATACAATTATTTTTTTCTCTTTTTTGCTCAGGTGTTTCTTCTCTATCAACCCAGAGAAAGGCACTAAAGTGGAGGAAACAAACACAGCCCGACTTCATGTGAACCCAAGAGTTCTTACCTTGATTCAGGAGCTTTCAGATCATGAATGGCGTGACGTCTAAATATGGACTGAAGTCAGTAAGATTTGACAAACAGTGAATGCCAGTTTCTCAGGTTTATTTGATCTGCCATGCTTAATGTATGTGTTAAGTTTGTACACAACTGTTAAGAGTTTTTATTGCTCTAGTGTTTTCTGAATTAGGTTATTTCTGAATTGCTTGTTTGTATGGAATATTTGTTTATAAAACAACTCTTAAATGTTCTTAAACCGATTTAAGAGAAAAGTCAGTAACATTTTATAATAACTACACACTATAAATAATTTATTAAGCATTAGCATATAGTGAATTCATTAACTGTTGAGCACTAACTCTAAATTAATAAACATTATTTGGCAGTTTATAACAACTGCTAAAATGCTGTATTCTTGATTTAAAAACACGTGTAATGTGCTTAATAATTGTGTTTTCATACTTTGTTAATGATTCTTTTTCCATTACTAAATTAAGTACTGCATTATTTACAAACCAGTTGTATTTAAGAGTATTTCAGGGTTTTTAGGATCATTTAGAATGAGTTGGTAAATGGTTAATAAACTATTCAAATCAACATTTATAATTCTTATTATTCAGGCATATATTAATAGTTAATTTGTATGTTATTTAATTCTTTATTAACTCAACTTCATCCAACTTCATCCTCACTAATCCAAAGTGAGGACTATGCTTTATAAATGCCTTATAAATGACAATTAAATGTTTAGTTAAATTCTAAACAGGAAATAATTGATAAAGAAAAGGGTTTTTTTTTTTCATTTCTATTTATTATAAAATCCACAAATGAAACTGTATCAAATGAAAAATAAATCTTTGCAACCTTATGTAAAATAAAATCACTGTACAGTTTAAACATCGCTAAATAACATTGAAATGTTGCATCATTGTGTTAAATTGTTATATTGTTGTTTAATCCAATTTTATGTTATATTTTGACACTCCTGTTATTCAGCAATAATTAAACTTCACAGTAATTTTACTTATTAGATAAGATTGCAAAGCTTATTGTTAATTTGATACTGAGCCTTTAATTGTCATTTATAAGGAATTTATAATGCATGAATAGTCTTCACTTCAGATTAGGTCACAAAACTACATGAAGTTGTGCTAGTAAAGCATTTATTAACATAAATAGTAACCATTACTATATGCCTGAATAATAAGAATTATAAATGTTGATTTCAATAGTTTATTAATCATTTACTAACTCAATCTCATTGATTTTAATTATCCCCAACTACTTTTAAATACAAATGGTTCATAAATAATGCAATACTTAATTTAGTCATGAAAAATCAATCACTCACAAATTATGAAAGCACACTTATTAAGCACATTATGTGTGCTCATAAGTCAAGAATAGAGCATTTGTAGCCGTTGATATAAACTGCTTACTAACATCTATTAATGTAGAGTTAATGCTTAACATTTAACAAATTCACTATATGCTAATGCACGATAAATGATTCATACGTGTGTAGATATTATGAAGTGTTACTGGAAAGTCATTCATTTTATTGCCATTTATTGCAATTTTAGTTTTACTGGCAATGTCTGCCATCTCTTTGCCTATTACGTTCCTTATTTGTTTCCAAAAAGACAATCATTATCTGTCACATGCTCTCTAAAAGATGAATGTCGTTTGTAAGGAAAGTAAGCAATACAAATTTGTGTTGTAAACTGACAGACAGTGTTGACTTGTTTATGGTTAATAAATACAAATTATAATTGGATTACTAAGTTTTTGAGTGCAGTTTCTATGATATATGCATATCTAGAATTTATATCCCTGAGTACTGTTTAACATACAGTACAAGTTATCATATATGGTAAAGCAAATGATTTACAGTTGCTACTAAAATCAAACTATGTTCAGTATATGAAACAACATTGGTCTTCTCAAAGGAATTGGTTTAGGTGTGGTTGTGCCATTTCAGAAAAGATTTACTTGTCTACATTTTTTGATTATTATGAATAAACACAATTGACAATTGATTTTATGCTGTTAAGTTGTTTACCTAAAAAGCATTTTCATTAATTATTGTCATAATTATTGTGGCAAACACAGCTGCCTACAGAATTTTTTTGTTTAAATATTAATGTAATTATTAATTTTAGAAATGGTATTAATTAGTAAATATGCTGATTTGTTTTTTCACGTAATCTATATGTTCAACAGTTTTAAATTGTAAAGAGGTTTACATTTTTATTGTAATTTTTACAAAATTATTCTGGCAACCACAGCTGCCAAAATATTTTTGTAAAAGCAACAAGATTTTATTGTTTTAATACTAAAAATGTAAATATTTTGTACACAAAATTTCTGTAAATTTTACATATTATTAAATTGTTTTTTACATAATTATTCTGTCAATATACAGTTTTAAATTGTAAACAGGTTTACAATTTTATTGTATTTTTTACAAAATTATTCTGGCAACCACAGCTGCCAAATTTCTTTGGTAAAAACAACAAGATTTTTTTGTTTAAATACAAAAAATTTTGCTATTTTTTACACAGAATTTCTGTAAATTTTACATATTATTAAATTGTTTTTTACATAATTATTCTGTCAATATACAGTTTTAAATTGTAAACAGGTTTACAATTTTTTGGTATTTTTTACAAAATTATTCTGGCAACCACAGCTGCCAAATTTTTTTTGTAAAAACAACGGAATTTTTTTTACAGTGTAGGGTTGCGCTGTTGTGAAAATAGCAACAAGTTGCGCCAAACACATCTTGTGCTTTATTGCGCTGGGTGTATAATAGAGCCCTAATGTCATTCTGGGGTGCGTTTCCTAAACAACGACGCAACTATCACATTACGATGCATTGTTTGGGAAAAAAAAACTATATAGTGACGAGTGTTTTCCAAAACCCGTAGTTTCCCTGTCGCAGATCCATCGCTTGAACCACGTTAGTTATAACGTAAAACGCCCATAATGATGCTCTAAACTGGGCGGAGTAACTAGCCTACTTCTTTAGAGAAAAACCCATAATTTCTTTGTGCAAACTATATTGTCTTATACCCACAGGCATTTAAAATAGAATCCAGTATTAGATTTGGTAAAAACATGCACTCGCTTTCTTTATTTACTGAAATATATGTAAATGGCACATAGGGCCTATGTTTGCTTTACTAATATTATTGAGAAGTTGAACATTACATATTCTATTCTAAAACATATCACTTACAAAAATTAACACTATTCTAATATCATAATCACATAAATAATCTCAAATCATATAAATAAATAATGAGGCTATTTATTATCAAATGAAATGTAAAATTTATTATTTATTGGATATGAAAAAATCATACTTTAATAACAATATTAATGATGATTATGATGATAATTATTATTATTATTAGTAAGTAGGATATTGTTTTTTCGGCCCCCATTCAGAGCCGTTTTAGGCAAACATCAGTGGTTTCAAAAATCAGTAATACAATAAAAAAAGACAACTTCAAACAAGGGCGACGTAATGGCGCAGTAGGTAGTACTGTCATCTCACAGCAAGAAGGTCTCTGGTTCGAGCCTTGGCTAGGTCAGTTGGCATTTCTATGTGGAGTTTGCATGTTCTCCCCGTGATCGCGTGGGTTTCCTCTGGGAGCTCCGGTTTCCCCCAAAAGTCCAAAGACGTGGTACAGGTGAATTGGGTAAGCTAAATATGTCTGTAGTGTATGTGTGTGAATGAGTGTGTATGGATGTTTCCCAATGATGGGTTGCAGCTGGAAGGGCATCCGCTGCGTAAAACATGCTAGATAAGTTGGCAGTTCATTATGCTGTGGTGACCCCAGATTAATAAAGGGACTAAGTCAAAAAGAAAATGAATGACCTTCAAACAATAGGATAAATACAAACAATACAATAAATAAAAAGATATAGAGAAAATGTATAAATGCAAGAATTTATTGTATTTAAAAAATGTTTAAACATATTAAGTTACTGTTTTAAAAAAAATTTGCCTACTATGCAAATATTGCATCACATTTCATGGTATGAATTAAATGAAAAATATCAATCATATTACTAAGAATGGGGAAAAGTGCCATGCTCAGAATGCTCAACTGCCCGGCCACAGTGAAGAAAGTCCTGCCTTCCAGTTGAAATAGCCAATTATCAATCTTTAGAGCCATCTGTTTTTTGCAACACAATCTCACGGCACTTTTTGATTTAGTGACTAATGCGTATGCATTTGTACAATCTCATTTGTACAAATGCATACACATTGTACTCATTTGTCACTTTAAAACGTTTTTAACTTAATTAAAATGCTTAAGAAACAACTTATGCGACGGGTTAATTAAGATTTTTTTAGTGATGTAAAATCTTTGATTTCATTTGGACTTCAGTGATCGGTTTTTAACATTTCAGAGTTCTCTCATTCAGTAAGACAGAACGTTGGTCTTGGATGAACATCCTGGAGGCATTGCAAACATGGCCATCAAGTTAAAAGACATTCCTTGAAAGGGACTTTGATTAATTTAAATGGAGTTTTATTCAAGTTTTTAAAGTTATTTACTGATGAGCACTGACTGATACTCATATTTTATGGTGATTCTCCCATCTGTTGTTTGTTTAACATTAAATGACAGTGATTCTTGAAGACTGAATACACGTTTTAATTTCTCAGATCCTTTATATAGAATCCAATGGTGAAAAGCTCTGTTTTCTAGTATCTACAGCATCTGACAATCAAATAGCATTACTTGAATTGACTGATTTGGAGGTGGTGGCATAGGAAGGGAGACATCTATAGTATATTGGCACATTTTGTCATCTCCACTGCTAGGGGGCGCATAATCACAGCAAAAAAGGGGCATGTTTGGGAGCTTTATACTGTGCATATAGAGCAAATCGGCTCTACATACTGTGTTTTGACAGACATTTGCCATGCCACCATGCAGACACCGGCTTCACCAATCCAAGGCAAAAATTGCTTGTTAGCAATTTTGCAATCAAAATAACCACAAACTAAAAACTAAATCCATTTGGAGTGTTTGATTCAGCTCTGTTTAGAAACAATGAGCTATATTTCCCTCAGCGTATCAGCCCCAGCAAGCATTTTTTCTGTGTGCTTTTAAATGACATCTAATAGACATCCAAACATAGATGTATTGGTTAAAACAAGGCTATATTTGGGCTGTTGGTGAAAATCAATTGAAATGTAGTTTAAAAATAGTCTAGTCATCAAATAGATAGGTAAAATAAATGACTACACAAGTCTGTGGAATAGTAAATTGTCTATCTTTGGATTTGTTAGTTTATTTTTACTGACACCCCAAATTTATCCATATATCAGACATACTGTATATATTAGATGCCTTTTACACACAAAAAGCTTGCTATGAAGTTGCAGAAATGCTTCTTAATAAAAAATATAT